TGAACTCAAATACCTGTACTTTCTACTTCTTACATGTTGAACACAAATACCTGTACTTTCTACTTCTTACACGTTGAACACAAATACCTGTACTTTCTAACTCTTACATGTTGAACTAAAATACCTGTACTTTCTACTTCTTACATGTTGAACACAAATACCTGTACTTTCTAACTCTTACATGTTGAACACAAATACCTGTACTTTCTACTTCTTACATGTTGAACACAAATACCTGTACTTTCTACTTCTTACATGTTGAACTAAATACCTGTACTTTCTACTTCTCACATGTTGAACACAAATACCTGTACTTTCTACTTCTTACATGTTGAACTAAAATACCTGTACTTTCTACTTCTTACATGTTGAACTAAAATACCTGTACTTTCTAACTCTTACATGTTGAACACAAATACCTGTACTTTCTACTTCTTACATGTTGAACTAAAATACCTGTACTTTCTACTTCTTACATGTTGAACACAAATACCTGTACTTTCTACTTCTTACATGTTGAACACAAATACCTGTACTTTCTACTTCTCACATGTTGAACACAAATACCTGTACTTTCTACTTCTTACATGTTGAACACAACAATACCTGTACTTTCTACTTCTCACATGTTGAACACAAATACCTGTACTTTCTACTCTTACATGTTGAACTCAAATACCTGTACTTCTACTTCTTACATGTTGAAACTCAAATACCTGTACTTTCTACTTCTTACATTGTAGAACTCAAATACCTGTACTTTCTACTTCTTACATGTTGAACACAAATACCTGTACTTTCTACTTCTTACACGTTGAACACAAATACCTGTACTTTCTACTTCTTACATGTTGAACTAAAATACCTGTACTTTCTACTTCTTACATGTTGAACACAAATACCTGTACTTTCTAACTCTTACATGTTGAACACAAATACCTGTACTTTCTACTTCTTACATGTTGAACTAAAATACCTGTACTTTCTACTTCTTACACGTTGAACACAAATACCTGTACTTTCTACTTCTTACATGTTGAATAAAATACCTGTACTTTCTACTTCTTACATGTTGAACACAAATACCTGTACTTTCTAACTTTACATGTTGAACACAAATACCTGTACTTTCTACTTCTTACATGTTGAACTAAAATACCTGTACTTTCTACTTCTTACATGTTGAACTAAAATACCTGTACTTTCTACTTCTTACATGTTGAACTCAAATACCTGTACTTTCTACTCTCTACATGTTGAAACTCAAATACCTGTACTTTCCTACTTCTACATGTTGAACTCAAATACCTGTACTTTCTACTTCTTACATGTTGAACTCAAATACCTGTACTTTCTACTTCTTACATGTTGAACTCAAATACCTGTACTTTCTACTTCTAACAGTCCCGTTGAACTCCCCCAAAACCTGTAACTTTCTTACTTCTCTCATGTTGAACTAAAATACCCTGTACTTTCTACTTCTACATGTTGAACTCAAATACCTGTACTTTCTACTTCTTACATGTTGAACCCAAATACCTGTACTTTCTACTTCTTACATGTTGAACACAAATACCTGTACTTTCTACTTCTTACTATGTTGAACACAAATACCTGTACTTTCTACTTCTTACATGTTGAACATCAAATACCTGTACTTTCTACTTCTTACATGTTGAACTCAAATACCTGTACTTTCTACTTCTTACATGTTGAACTCAAATACCTGTACTTTCTACTTCTTACATGTTGAACCCAAATACCTGTACTTTCTACTTCTTACATGTTGAAACCCAAATACCTGTAATGTTGAACACAAATACCTGTACTTTCTACTTCTTACATGTTGAACTCAAATACCTGTACTTTCTACTTCTTACATGTTGAACTCAAATACCTGTACTTTCTACTTCTTACATGTTGAACTCAAATACCTGTACTTTCTACTTCTTACATGTTGAACCCAAATACCTGTACTTTCTACTTCTTACATGTTGAACACAAATACCTGTACTTTCTACTTCTTACATGTTGAACCCAAATAACCTGTACTTTCTACTTCTCTCCTCATTTTCCAAACAGCTGGTTCCTTTAGTCTGAATGTGTGTTTGATGCGTGATCATTATTCTTTAGAGTCATTGCGTGCCTATTGATTTGAACACGATCCGTGTATCCATCATTTCCTGCTCTTCTCTAAAGAAGAGGGACCAATGGAAACGTTGTCATGTTGCCGTTGTTCAGCATGGAAACATTCATTAGCTAACAATGACATTATTGTTCTATTAATATAAAGGGAGGTCAGGTACTCTTTAAAGCAGCTGCTAGTTATGGGTACTTTTTACTGAAGTACACTTCAAAGCCTCTTTACTTTGACTTTCACCAGAGTATTTTTAAACACGAGTATCTGTACTTCTACTTGAGTAAAGTGTGTGTACTTTTGCCCTCTCTGTACAAGACATACAACAATACAAATAATGCAAGTAGTACATTTGTCCTGCAGTGAGTACACAATGTATTGCATTATAACCAATTCAGTTTTAGGAGACATAGAAACTATATTATTAAATGCAATATTTATTAATATAATGCTTATAAGAGCATCACTTTCATATAACTTGAATTACATTATAGTTGTAACCTTATTTATTAAATCTTATTTTTTCATCTTATTCATGTATTTATTTATAGATAATTCATTAATGTATTCATTTGTTTATTCAGCAGAACTGCTCCTCATCTCCAGAGCACGGTCTGCAGAAGGTGACCAACATGGAGAAGGCTGCAGGATCTGAGGTGAGAGTTAAGGCATCCTGCGCCTCAGGAGAGTTAGTTCCTCGTTAGCTGAAAGAGTGACCAGAGCTCTCAGGAGACCACCAGGTCCCTGCAGACTGCTGGGTCTGTAGATGCTGATCAGTGACAGCTTCCCCGAGTGTCTGAACATACGCCCTCAGGTCCGATGTTACCATAACAAATCCATTCAGGACCTTCTCCTAGGGTGCTAGCTTCAAAAAGACCATTTGTATTCAATATTTCTCACCACATGTTACCGTGAACTCTTAAATATGTTTTTCTCACATGCCTCAAAGGTAAACAAAGAATCAAAACACGGAACAATGATTGATGATTGAAGTTCATTCTGGCTGCATTTTAACAACAGAAAAACTCAATGAAATATTTGATAACTTACACAAAAACTTGTGCAGGGTTAATTGTCACAAATAAGTAATAATAAAACTCCTTTAAGGTCAAATCTGTTCACACATGGATTTGATGAGTGACGTCCATTACTGTAACAACAATGCATCTGAATCTTTTTTCTCATGTTGCAGACTGCTCCAGGAACAAGGAGCATAAAGAAGGAGAAGGATGCTGATCCCACTGTGAGTAAACTGATACACTAAACACACAACAATTCTGCATTCTCTCAGGAGACCACCAGGTCACTGCAGACTGCTGGGTCTGTAGATGCTGATCAGTGACAGCTTCCCCGAGTGTCTGAACATACGGCCTCAGGTCCGATGTTACGATAACAAATCGATTTAGGACCTTCTCCTAGGGTGCTCTGGCACCATGTACACGTACGAGCATCCTTATGTTCGAACATGGTGTTTGTTCTGGCCAATCCATGACTAGCACAGAAGTCCAGTAACAAAGCACCCAATCACGACCCTCCAAGTGTCTCCATCATTGCCCACATGTTCAAGTCTACCAGGAAGACTAAGGAGTCCCCTTCAGGACGCTATCCAGGGGCTCCAAGAAGGCAGAATACTCTGAGGTGCTGTTTTCTGCTGAGGCACATACAACAGTCACAGCTCCCCCCCCCCCCCCCCCATAACCCACAGGCATAGCGAGGCGACCCTTGTGGTGGAAATGTACTGAGACAAACTAACAAATACTAAAATGGTGAGGAAACCTTTCAGTTATTCTGAAATGAAGATTCTTGGAATAAGACGGTCTTTTAGGGAGTTCATTAAAGGTAAATCGTTACAGAGAGTCAAGCAGTCTGCTGCGAAATACGAAAGTAAATGTGATTTGATGAGTGAAGTCCTTTATTGTAACAACAATACATCTATCTTTTCTCATGTTGCAGACTGATCCTGATGCAAGCGGAACGAAGAAGGAGAAGGATGCTGATCCCACTGTGAGTAAACTGTGATCGATGAACATTCTGCATTTTTAAGTAAATGTTACTTTAATTTTCTTACTCTGGTTTTCCTGCAGGCCGGACATTCACATCGCTTCAGAGTGAAATTCCCTCCTGACCGCAAGGAACACACTATAGACTGTGTTCAACCCGGAACAGTGCTGCGGGCGATAAAAACATGTAACACATATGATGAGAAGTTTTCAGATGAGAAGTTTCCAGATGAAAACCTTGTGATTCAGCTGGGTAAAACGGATTGGGAACATGCTATTGCAACACATTTCCCTTGTTCTTGTATCAGGGAAGATGTGTGTCTGATCTTATCGCATAAAACAGAACAGACTGAATGGACCCAAGGCCAAAATGAGGAACCAATACTGTCAGAAGAAAAGTATTCTGTCTTCTATATTGATACAGTGGGAGGAGAAAACACTTTAACAAAGCCGTTTATCAGAAGCAAGGCTCTCAGAAGCAATGCTTTCACAAGCAAGGCTTTCAATGATTTATACTACCTGTGTGTGTATGGGGAGAAGGGTAGGACAGTGAAGGACGCTCTGAAAAGAGATGGACGCTTCATTGATGATCTTGGCAACTTCACTCTGTCTGACAACATACACTCAAATGATGCAATTACATTTTGCAAACCTGTTGACAACCTGCATGGTAAAGAATTGAAGTTGAGTCTTGAAAGGAAGGGTAGCAAAGTTATCCCAAAAACAATGGAAAAAAGTTCATTAAGTGACAAAGATTCAGTCGATCGTGTCGGAGCAGAGAACGAATCAGAGGGAAAGAGTGCTGAGAGTGGCAGCAGTGTCGACAATACAGAGATGTATGGTTTACTGCATGCAGGTCTGAGGAAACTGAGGGACAATGGGGAGGAGGATCTGTTGAAGAGAGTTCAGGAAGAAGCAAAGGGAAACTCAGACCTAGAAGAGATACTCAAAAAGATACTCAACCCCGACTCTGATGAGTAAATAGTGACTGATTAGAAAGATTAGATAATCAGGGGCTGAACACACGAGGCTGGACAGCTTATATTCCCATGCATCATCACACTTCAGATCTGTTTTCTAGTGCATCCTGTTTCATATTGACGTCTCTGTTAGTCTGTAACAGCCAATATCACTTTTTTCTAAATCCATATTTCTTGTAAGCATTATTTTTTTATTTTATCATAATTTTTTTGATTTTCATATCTATAGTAGTTCTTTTTTACAACGTCCTTACTTCACTGTGTTCATGTATGCACCATTGTACACCAAATTAACCTAATTGGCAATAAACCAAATTCTGATGTTGATTGTGCTGCATACTCACCGTTTGTGGAATATATGAATGTATTTTATTGAGGCAGTGAACTGAATGCCATATATTTCATGTATTTTCTCTTTTAACACGTATTGGAAGCTCCTTAAGTGTGAGCTGATATTTGTTTTTATTTCAATGTCATATATTTCTCCCGTGGTAAATGTGTTTATTCTGTCCTGGCCTTCCCTACCAATGTATTCTGTGTTTTATTAAAAGTTGATCTCTTCAAAATCTGTTTCTTGTGTCTGATTTTTTAATTTAGGGTTATGTTATTCAACGTATGTAGCCCCGCCCCTTTCCCCTCTTCCGGTGAGTAAAAGAACCAAAAAACCAAAAATAAACACTGTTTCTTTTGGCAAGTGGACGCTATGCAAAGTAAATAATTATACTTTAACCTGAAGTACTAACAAATACAGCAATGTTGAAGTCCTAGAGCAGGAGACGGTGAATTGTTCCCACCATTTCCACCCTTCAGTCTTAACAGGCGATAACATTTTCTTTCCATATCAGCTGAAATAACAACCCGGGACTTCTCGATGCTGCAGGTACAATGATGATTTAGGGCTCCATCACTTTGTGTTTTCTCACCTGAAAAAGGTTATGATGTTACGGCTCAAATGTGGTTAATAAATAAGTACCGGTCAGAGCAAACACACTATAAACAGTGTTTCAGAGTGTGTGATAATATACATAATACAGGGATAAACAGGCCAGAGTAATGTCCCAACACCACAGTGTAGCAAGGACTCTGTTAGCTGAACAAGCATCCTTCAAGCCATATTTGAATAAATGTGTCTTTCAAACAGTTTGATTTGGGGGAGGTTCACCATACCTTTCAGAGCTGAAGAAAACTACAGCAACATTTGCTTCATAAAGAACACATGTATCACAGGACAAGAAGGAAGTGGTGTCAAAAGTACTCAAATCCTTTACTCAAGAAAAAGGCACTCATCTAAATAAGTAAAAAAAACATTACTAGTAAATAATGGATGTAAAATGTTATCTTGGTCAAAGTACAGAAGTATTATCAGCTGGAGTTTATTTAGGACCTAACGAGCTGTAAGCCTACAGCTCCCCCTAGTGGCCCTTCACCCTCCCCGTCACCTTTAATGAGAAACAACAACAATATATTTCCTGGAATTATCAAAGCCTTTTTATTTCTCATTGTTATTAAAACACCTGCAAAGTAATATTTGAGCCAAACAAACCCTTGGCTCTTCCAGAATGACCAGTATCTGTAATGGGACAACAACTGATCCTTTCTAAAGCAACTCAGCAGAATCAAGCTTGATCGCCCGATTGACGGTTTCAGAAATGTACACCACTTGCCGGACATACCTTCCCAAATCGATGTTGAGATGCATTGGTTCTGTCCAATCAGCTGCAGCGTCCAATGAGTGACCAATGCACAATAAGGAGGTGTATCGGCGGTTCAGAATCTTCACTAAAGGACGCTCAGGTGCTTCCTTGCTCATCTTTCCTCGATCCTCACGCTTTGGGATGGTCTTCAAGATGGCGCACCAGAACATCTTCCGGTTAAGTTTAAACGTCCAACTTGGGATGAACCCTAATGCTGTGTCTCAATGTGGATACTTCCCTTCGTACACTGCCATGTTGTGCACTGTGAACACGTGGGCATAGGGCTGGGCGATTTGGCCTAAAAATAAAATCGCGATTTTTTTCTAACTAATGGACAATTTTCGATTTAAACCTCGATTTTTTTCAGTTTTTTTCTAAACAAACCAGACCAAGGCAACATTTAAATACATATTTTCTTTATTAACACAATACAAATAAATGAGATTACCAAGTAGTCTAGGCCTATGTGAACAAATCAGTTGTTCAAGAATAAAAATAATAAAATAAAAACAGCACCACGGCACTTGGCTGTCATTAATGTGCAAAGATTTTTTTTAAATCAAACTGAAAAAAAAATCTCTTTTAGGCCATCCCTGAAAAAACTTGTAAAATGAAATACAACAAATAATAAATAATGATAATGAAATGAATAATAAAAAAATACCCTCAAACAAAATAACATCCCTTTAACTTTCTAGGAAGTTGTCTACAGGTTTTTCGCGAGGAAGACAAGCCTGTCTACTGCCTCTGGCTTGAGGCATGCTCTTTGGCATGTTACAATGTTACCCCCCGTACTGAAAACCCTCTCCGAAGGGTGGCAGGAATGGAGAGATATTTCTTGGCCAGATTACTCAGTCTTGGGACATTAGCTTCATGTAGCTTCCACCACTGCAGTGGGTCTGTATCAGGGTCTGTCTCAGACGACAACAAATAGGATGACAGCTCAGCTTCCATTTTGTCCTGCTCTGACTGGGAGGTAGACGACACTGTCAGTAGTGATGTGTCGGTCGCGAACGAGCCGGCTCTTTTAAGTGAACGACGGGAGCCGGCTCTCGCCCGCGAACGAGCCGTGTTTTTGTTTTTTTTTGCGGAGGGATCTAGATCGGCATGAAGGCACATTATGCAATGTGCACATTATCCCGCTTATTACACATGGCCACATTCTCAACAAAGTAACGACATGACTCCTAATATTAATTGAAATGCTTTTATGGATTTAGAAAATGATTTTATTGATTTAAAAAATAGTTGTATGTATTGATTTAAATTGACATGCATCCGCTAAGAAAAGTAGTCCGTTGTTACCGTTTGAACTAACGTAGCAACGGCAGGAACTGCTTCGATAGTGTTTTTGAGGAGCTTTTTGATTACAGATTTGAAAACATCGTTGCTTGCTTTAAAAGTAGCACACTTCATGATGTCAGACCTTGGGAAGTATCTAGATATCCCTGCCCTAATGCCAAAGTAACTGCCAACTGAATATGTGTCGCCGTTTGATGTCTATGTCTGGACCGCTGCGTAACAAGGAGGGTTTCTGCCCCATTACTTCTCTTCTTACTTCTATAAGAATAAAACACGGAGGACGGAGATCTCTTTTCCTCCCCCTCTACAGACCGCCCAGCAGCTGATCTCAGAGCACGCTCCCCTCTCCTGCAGGGGGGCGTGGTCAGCTGCAGCTCACAGAATCAGCCCCTGCAAAAACAGCGCTGGAAAAAGCAAATGGAGCGAAATGAGGCATGGCTAAAATGCAGGATCTTTTTGGTATTTTGAAAAAAAAATATGTTTTATATAGTTTATATAGGTCGATACAGTAGCCCTTTTTTTAAATAGTTTGTATAGGTGTTGCTATCTGTTTTGTGTAGCGTGGTTCTACAAGCAAGTCAATGCATTCATTGGGTGGTATCAGAGATTTACACGGGTCTGTAAATGCAATGAAAACAATTGGCCACAGCAAATCATTTATATTAAACTTTATTTACTCTTGAATACTTCAGTACAAAGGATGTATTGAATAATTTAAGTGATATATGTGTACACAGAGCTGCAGATCGGGTAGTCACAGGCAATGTGTCTGAGTTTTGTGCGCGTTCTGGAAAGTGAGAGAGTAAGCTTCTACGGAGTCCCTTAAAGCAAAACAAATCTGCGGAGTCTAGAAATGTTTTTAAATCGCGATTTTTCGGTTCAGCCATTTCAAAAACCGTAGGAAAGTAAAAATGCAAATTAATCGTTAAAACCGAAAAAATCGCCCAGCCCTACGTGGGCAGTGTGTGAATTTCAACCAATAAGTGTTGTTTTAAATTGCACATGTGATGTTACGACTGTTAGCTAGCTAGCCACCAAGCGACGTTATTGTTTACTGAGTCATTACAGACTACTTAACTAACCCCATTAACTATATGGTGGCTTCTTTTTGACACCAGTACTGTGGTACATGTATTAAATACAGAAATACAACCACATTCTTTCGTCTTATTTGTATAGAGCAGATTTCACCAAAGCACTTCCGTTACGTAGCCAGAAATAGGGGTAACTTTTAGACCATTGTGACCAATGCGGGTATTCATAGGGCTTTTGCCATACTTTTCATTGGGCAACACTTACACACTCTAAAAAGCTAGTTTAAGTACAGAAGTACGCACATTGAGACACAACGAATGTCTTTCCTTCTCAAGGTTCAAGGTTAGTTTATTTATATAGCACATTTTAAGACACAGAGGTGTGTTCAAAGTGCTTCACAAAGGCATTTAACACGTCATAATTAAAAACAAAACAAAAGCAGAAAAAAGACAATCCTCCTCTTCTTCTTCTTTTGATTCATTTATTCAGTTATTTGTGTATTTATTAATTTAACAAACATCAACAGTTCCTTTGTAAAAGCAAACTTTAAATTAAAGATATCTAATTTAGAGAAATGATCAGGACGGATCGTTTGTCCTCTGAGGACTTTCATCCATTTATCTTTTCACCTTTATCCCCTCATTCACACATGTACAGTTTTTATCATTATTTCTTATATTGCACTTCAACCTCTTTTGCCCATTTGTAATGTTTACAAATACTTTTTTAATTTACTTTATTTTTGTATTATTGTAAAATCCTTCTTCCAACCTTCGTACAGTTTGTAACAATCAGCTTATATTTTAGCCATTGAAAAGGTTCGGGAGCTACTGTGGTAATGTAACCAAAGAGAGTGGCTGAAAATGAAGTGTGTCCTCTAAATAATAAAGTTCCCCCCAAACTAAAACCTAGACAGAGTCAGTATGGCATCTCAAAGACAGCTTCATCTGCCCAAACACATTCAGCACCTCCAACAAGTTCAAACACAAACTATAACGGGAGTAATTCTCAGGCAATGTCCATCTTAGAATGCAGTCTTCTTGTTACGGCTGAATAATCCCAACGAAAGCTAAAATCATAAATCCAAAGTCACTCCACAAAAAGGTAATTCAACGAGAACACTGCCAGTGGAGGAACAATGAAGAAGGGATTCACCGACTGAACACAAAGCTCCTCCTCCTCCTCCTCCTCCTCCTCCTCCTCCTCCTCCTCCTCCTCCTCCTCCTCCTCCTCCTCCTCCTCCTCCTCCTCCTCCTCCTCCTCCTCCTCCTCCTCCTCCTCCTCCTCCTCCTCCTCCTCTCCCTCCTCCTCCTCCTCTCCCTCCTCCTCTCCCTCCTCCTCCTCCTCCTCCTCCTCCTCCTCCTCCTCCTCCTCCTCCTCCTCCTCCTCCTCCTCCTCCTCCTCCTCCTCCTCCTCCTCCTCCTCCTCCTCCTCCTCCTCCTCCTTCTAATGGCGGATCGCAAACAGCTTTTGGTTGCATACCGCCACCTACTGTAACAGTGCCTTTCTGGTAGCTCTCACTCCTTCTGTTCCCAGAACACCAGCCACATTCCCTCTCTGCCTCTGAAACTTTATCCTTTAGTTTTTCTCTTCCAGCTTTATAGATGTCACGATGTAACAAGATATGTTCCACATGTTCTTTACCTCCACAGTTCCTACACTTGTCTCTGTCACTTTTCCCCATGACATACAGCGTACCATTCAAAGCCGTGTGATCCACTCTGAGTCTAGCTGTCATGATTTCCTCCCTTCTGCTTATTTCTTTATAAATATTCATTGTGATTGTCTTTTGAACTTTATGACACTCTTTGCCTTTCTGGTCTTCCTCCACCTCTTCTGCCAGACCTCCATCCCTTTCTTCTTAATGACTGCTTTTCCTTCTCCTTCTCCAAGTTCAGCTGGTAAAGTTATTTCCTTTTGTAGTGCACTCGTTCCCTTCCCCCCCTCATGCGCACTCGTTCCCTTTCCCCCCTCATGCACACTCGTTCCCTTTCCCCCCTCATGCACACTCGTTCCCTTTCCCCCCCTCATGCACACTCGTTCCCTTTCCCCCCTCATGCGCACTCGTTCCCTTTCCCCCCTCATACACACTCGTTTCCTTTCGCCCCCTCATACACACTCGTTCCCTTTCCCCCCTCATGCACACTCGTTCCCTTTCCCCCCTTCATGCACACTCGTTCCCTTTCGCCCCCTCATGCGCATGTGTACAGTGATGGCTCCGTCACAAGTTGTTCTGTTGGCTCCTTTCAGTTCAATTATAATGTAATGTACACATACAGTATTGTTCTACAATGTTTATATAAATATTATTATATTATTATTTTATCCTTATTATATTATCTTACTTTAACTTCTTAAGTTTATATACATATGTGTATTCCATTTAATGTATTTTTTGGCCTTGCACATTAACACGCAAATTAAATATGGAAAGTCTGCAATTATAAAATATACAGAAAAGATTATATAAAGTGTATACATTACACAAGTAGTTTTAAAAAGGCAGGGTTAATAAAATCAAAGAAAAGGTTGTCTATATGTATTAAAGCAGGCGTTACATTAAAATCTTCTGGGTCACCGGGTGAACTGGTTGGTTTTGGGCTTGGTGTCTTCCTGATAACATATTAAATCCCATATGACGATAGTTCTGATAAACACTCCCTGTGTGCCACCCTTTATAAATGCATCCCGCATCACAGGGAGCCATTCTGCGGAGCGAGTCCACTAAAGTCAAGGTAAGACGCTTACAATCTTTCTTTGTTTTTTAAAGGTATGTGTTTTGCCAGAGAGGGCCTTTAGAGATAGAATCGGAGGATGAAACCCTCTGTAACATAGACACACAGTGAAATGTGCCTGTTTGTCTGCTATAGGACGCTTCAACATTGCCGTATCATGTGTTAGTACTTCAGGTTAAAGCAGGGGGGTCCAAACCTTTTTCACTGAGGGCCACAGACAGAAACACATACAAAGGGCTGGGCCCCTCGCTAGAGGAGAGGTGTACTGCCTCATAGGTTAAATTATAATTCAGCTAAATCAATCAAATGTAGGTAAATGATGCTTTCTACTTTCAGGGTTCCAGTTACCTGCTGCAGCTCATGCCTTAAAACTGAAGCCTCAGATTGATTATAATAAGGGGAAATATGAAGGGTCTATTTATAGCTTGTTATGGAAATAAAACAAAGGTCTGTTAGAACATGTTCTCAGCTCTAATTGACTGAATGCATTTTAATAGTGGGCTTATCAACACATGAAAACTACTGTGTAATATAGGCTCACATATATATTTAAGAAGTACAATATAAGACAAGCACGAGTTTCAGGTGGCGCCATATACCATTATACTTTAAGAACTTGCTGAGGGCCGCTTAGAAATGGACAACTGGCCGCATTTGGTCCCCGGGCCGTAGTTTGGACACCCCTGGGTTAAAGCATAATTGCTTACTTTGCATAGCGTCACCAGCTTTAACAACCTCCACTTGCCAAATAAACTGTTCAAGGGCACCACGGCAGGGCCCAGGAGGTGAACTGGGACCTCTCCAAGTACCAGTCCACACTCCATATCTAGGTCTGTTCGGGGACTTGAACCAGCAACCCTACAGCTCCCACTCTTTTCTTTTTATCTTGTATTGTACATTTGGCCGTTTTACACTTTATTTACAATGCTATATAATATTTAAGTATTTGGAATTTGTCCTTTATGGACACATCTAATCATTGTGCAAAACATAAATCATAAAACTAATAACCACTCCAACCCAGAAACCTAATTACGAAAACCAATAAACAAGAAAAACGTACAAAAATCAAACAAACCAAAGAATACAAATGAGAAACATTTCCTTTCCAACGCACATTTCAGCAATGTGATGCCCGTTGCTTGTACAATGTATTTTTATTTCTCCATCCCTCCCCGAAATAAGGTTGCTTCCTGACACAAAATCCTCATCGAACAATTCAAGTTACGGCTCCGAGTCCAAGTCCTTATTAACTGAGCCACGGACTTTAGATGTAAAGCGATGAAAGGAGGACATGACTAGGCAGCGGTCTAAGCGTGTCCTTCTTTCTTTACATGTGACCTGCTGTCAAAAATCCATAATACAGGTACTTTTATTTTGTTGTTGTCGAGAACTAAAACTTTTTTAAATGTATTTCCGTGCTGTAGGCGGTCGACTGTTCGTGTCTTTGTGCTCTGCCTGGCAACGCCCGACACAGAGAGAGGAGCCGCTGAACCGGTTTGGTAAGTTTCTGCAATCGTTCTGGAATCTTCCAGTTCTTCTGGGGAACGCTCATTTCTATTTCAAAGATTCAAAGGCTTAGATATGGCAGTTAACTTCTTTAGTCGCAGGCTCCTCCAACAATACAACATACATATATACAAGACCAGAGGTGGCTAGTAATGGAGTACAAATACTTCGTTACTGTACTTAAGTGCATGTTTCTGGTATCCATACTTTACTCCACTACTTATTTTTCTGACCTCTCTTTACTTTGACTCATGTTGAACCCAAATACCTGTACTTTCTACTTCTCTCATGTTGAACCCAAATACCTGTACTTTCTACTTCTCTCATGTTGAACTCAAATACCTGTACTTTCTACTTCTTACATGTTGAACACTAATACCTGTACTTTCTACTTCTTACATGTTGAACCCAAATACCTGTACTTTCTACTTCTTACATGTTGAACCCAAATACCTGTACTTTCTACTTCTTATATGTTGAACTCAAATACCTGTACTTTCTACTTCTTACATGTTGAAACACTAATACCTGTACTTTCTACTTCTTACATGTTGAACTCAAATACCTGTACTTTCTACTTCTTACATGTTGAACACAAATACCTGTACTTTCTACTTCTCACATGTTGAACACAAATACCTGTACTTTCTACTTCTTACATGTTGAACACAAATACCTGTACTTTCTACTTCTTACATGTTGAACCCAAATACCTGTACTTTCTACTTCTTACATGTTGAACTCAAATACCTGTACTTTCTACTTCTTACATGTTGAACTCAAATACCTGTACTTTCTACTTCTTACATGTTGAACTCAAATACCTGTACTTTCTACTTCTTACATGTTGAACTCAAATACCTGTACTTTCTACTTCTTACATGTTGAACTCAAATACCTGTACTTTCTACTTCTTACATGTTGAACTCAAATACCTGTACTTTCTACTTCTTACATGTTGTACTTTCTACTTCTCACATGTTGAACACAAATACCTGTACTTTCTACTTCTTACATGTTGAACACAAATACCTGTACTTTCTACTTCTTACATGTTGAACCCAAATACCTGTACTTTCTACTTCTCACATGTTGAACTCAAATACCTGTACTTTCTACTTCTTACATGTTGAACTCAAATACCTGTACTTTCTACTTCTCACATGTTGAACATCAAATACCTGTACTTTCTACTTCTCACATGTTGAACCCAAATACCTGTACTTTCTACTTCTCACATGTTGAACTCAAATACCTGTACTTTCTACTTCTTACATGTTGAACTCCAAATACCTTGTACTTTCTACTTCTTACAGTACATGTTGAACACAAATACCTGTACTTTCTACTTCTTACATGTTGAACACAAATACCTGTACTTTCTACTTCTTACATGTTGAACCAAATACCTGTACTTTCTACTTCTTACATGTTGAACACAAATACCTGTACTTTCTACTTCTTACATGTTGAACACAAATACCTGTACTTTCTACTTCTTACATGTTGAACTCAAATACCTGTACTTTCTACTTCTTACATGTTAACTCAAATCCTGTACTTTCTACTTCTCACAGTTGAACACAAAATACCTGTACTTTCTACTTCTACATGTTGAACTCAAATACCTGTACTTTTCTACTTCTCACATGTTGAACCAAATACTGTACTTTCTACTTCTTACATGTTGAACCCAAATACCTGTACTTTCTACTTCTTCACATGTTAACTCAAATACCTGTACTTTCTACTTCTTACATGTTGAACCCAAATACTTGTACTTTCTACTTCTTACAGACATGTTGAACACAAATCCTGTACTTTCTACTTCTTACATGTTGAACACAAATACCTGTACTTTCTACTTCTCACATGTTGAACTCAAATACCTGTACTTTCTACTTCTTACATGTTGAACACAAATACCTGGTACTTTCTACTTCTTCACATGTTGAACACAAATACCTGTACTTTCTACTTCTACATGTTAAACTCAAATACCTGTACTTTCTACTTCTTACATGTTGAACACAATACCTGTACTTCTTTCTACTTCTTACATGTTAAACTCAAATACCTGTACTTTCTACTTCTCACATGTTGAACACAAATACCTGTACTTTCTACTTCTTTACATGTTGAACCCAAATACCTGTACTTTCTACTTCTACACTTTGAACCCAAATACCTGTACTTTCTACTTCTTACATGTTAAACTCAAATACCTGTACTTTCTACTTCTCTAAATGGTTTAAACTCAAATACCTGTACTTTCTACTTCTTACATGTTGAACACAAATACCTGTACTTTCTACTTCTTACATGTTGAACCCAAATACCTGTACTTTCTACTTCTTACACTTTGAACCCAAATACCTGTACTTTCTACTTCTTACATGTTGAACTCAAATACCTGTACTTTCTACTTCTCACATGTTGAACACAAATACCTGTACTTTCTACTTCTTACATGTTGAACACAAATACCTGTACTTTCTACTTCTTACATGTTGAACTCAAATACCTGTACTTTCTACTTCTTCCATGTTGAACCCAAATACCTGTACTTTCTACTTCTTACATGTTGAACTCAAATACCTGTACTTTCTACTTCTTACATGTTGAACACAAATACCTGTACTTTCTACTTCTTACATGTTGAACCCAAATACCTGTACTTTCTACTTCTTACATGTTGAACTCAAATACCTGTACTTTCTTCTACTTCTTACATGTTGAACACAAATACCTGTACTTTCTACTTCTCTCATGTTGAACACAAATACCTGTACTTTCTACTTCTTACATGTTAAACTCAAATACCTGTACTTTCTACTTCTTACATGTTGAACACAAATACCTGTACTTTCTACTTCTTACATGTTGAACCCAAATACCTGTACTTTCTACTTCTTACACTTTGAACCCAAATACCTGTACTTTTACTTCTTACATGTGAACTCAAATACCTTGACTTTCTACTTCTCACATGTTGAACACAAATACCTGTACTTTCTACTTCTTACATGTTGAACACAATACCTGTACTTTCTACTTCTTACATGTTGAACTCAAATACCTTACTTTCTACTTCTTCCATGTTGAACCCAAATACTGTACTTTCTACTTCTTACATGTTGAACTCAAATACCTGTACTTTCTACTTCTTACATGTTGAACACAAATACCTGTACTTTCTACTTCTTACATGTTGAACCCAAATACCTGTACTTTCTACTTCTTACATGTTGAACCCAAATACCTGTACTTTCTACTTCTTACATGTTGAACTCAAATACCTGTACTTTCTACTTCTTACATGTTGAACTCAAATACCTGTACTTTCTACTTCTTAACATGTTGAACCCAAATACCTGTACTTTCTACTTCTTACATGTTGAACACAAATACCTGTACTTTCTACTTCTTACATGTTGAACACAAATACCTGTACTTTCTATTTCTTACATGTTGAACTCAAATACCTGTACTTTCTACTTCTTACATGTTGAACACAAATACCTGTACTTTCTACTTCTTACATGTTGAACCCAAATACCTGTACTTTCTACTTCTCACATGTTGAACACAAATACCTGTACTTTCTACTTCTTACATGTTGAACTCAAATACCTGTACTTTCTACTTCTTACATGTTGAACACAAATACCTGTACTTTCTACTTCTCACATGTTGAACACAAATACCTGTACTTTCTACTTCTTACATGTTGAACTCAAATACCTGTACTTTCTACTTCTTACATGTTGAACACAAATACCTGTACTTTCTACTTCTTACATGTTGAACTCAAATACCTGTACTTTCTACTTCTTACATGTTGAACCCAAATACCTGTACTTTCTACTTCTTACATGTTGAACCCAAATACCTGTACTTTCTACTTCTTACATGTTGAACTCAAATACCTGTACTTTCTACTTCTTACATGTTGAACCCAAATACCTGTACTTTCTACTTCTTACATGTTGAAACCCAAATACCTGTACTTTCTACTTCTTACATGTGAAACCCAAATACCTGTACTTTCTACTTCTTACATGTTGAACTCAAATACCTGTACTTTCTACTTCTTACATGTTGAACTCAAATACCTGTACTTTCTACTTCTTACATGTTGAACCCAAATACCTGTACTTTCTACTTCTTACATGTTGAAACCAAATACCTGTACTTTCTACTTCTTACATGTTGAACTCAAATACCTGTACTTTCTACTTCTTACATGTTGAACTCAAATACCTGTACTTTCTACTTCTTACAAGTTGAACTCAAATACCTGTACTTTCTACTTCTTACATGTTGAACTCAAATACCTGTACTTTCTACTTCTTACATGTTGAACTCAAATACCTGTACTTTCTACTTCTCTCATTTTCCAAACAGCTGGTTCCTTTAGTCTGAATGTGTGTTTGATGCGTGGTCATTATTCTTTAGAGTCATTGCGTGCCTATTGATTTGAACACGATCCGTGTATCCATCATTTCCTGGTCTTCTCTAAAGAAGAGGGACCAATGGAAACGTTGTCATGTTGCCGTTGTTCAGCATGGAAACATTCATTAGCTAACAATGACATTATTGTTCTATTAATATAAAGGGAGGTCAGGTACTCTTTAAAGCAGCTGCTAGTTATGGGTACTTTTTACTGAAGTACATTTCAAAGCCTCTTTACTTTGACTTGAGTAAAGAAATGTAGTGAGTACTTCGACTTTTAGCAGAGTATTTTTAAACACGAGTATCTGTACTTCTACTTGAGTAAAGTGTGTGTACTTTTGCCCTCTCTGACCAGACATAAAACAATAAAAATAATGCAAGTAGTACATTTGTCCTGCAGTGAGTACACATTGTATTGCATTATAACCAATTGAGTTTTAGGAGACATAGAAACTCAATTATTAAATGCAATATTTAATAATATGATGCTTATAAGAGCATCACTTTCATATAACTTGAGTTACATTATAGTTGTAATTTATTTCACCTTTATATTTCATGTTGTATATTTAACCTCATTCATTGCACCTTATTTATTAAACCTTATTTTTTCATCTTATTTATTTATTTATAGATAATTCATTAATGTATTCATTTGTTTATTCAGCAGAACTGCTCCTCATCTCCAGAGCACGGTCTGCAGAAGGTGACCAACATGGCGGATGCTGCAGGATCTGAGGTGAGAGTTAAGGCATCCTGCGCCTCAGGAGAGTTAGTTCCTCGTTAGCTGAAAGAGTGACCAGAGCTCTCAGGAGACCACCAGGTCCCTGCAGACTGCTGGGTCTGTAGATGCTGATCAGTGACAGCTTCCCCGAGTGTCTGAACATACGCCCTCAGGTCCGATGTTACCATAACAAATCCATTCAGGACCTTCTCCTAGGGTGCTAGCTTCAAAAACTATTTGGGGTCCAACTGTCTTTTTTATGAAATGGCAAAAAGACCATTTGTATTCATTATTTCTCACCACATGTTACCGTGAACTCTTAAATATGTTTTCTCACATGCCTCAAACTGTAAAAATAAGTAATAATAAAACTCCTTTAAGGTCAAATCTGTTCACACATGGATTTGATGAGTGACGTCCATTACTGTAACAACAATACATCTGAATCTTTTTTCTCATGTTGCAGACTGCTCCAGGAGCAAGGAGCATAAAGAAGGAGAAGGATGCTGATCCCACTGTGAGTAAACTGATACACTAAACACACAACAATTCTGTATTTTTAATTTACATTTTGAAGTGACCAGAGCTCTCAGGAGACCACCAGGTCACTGCAGACTGCTGGGTCTGTAGATGCTGATCAGTGACAGCTTCCCCGAGTGTCCAAAACATACGGCCTCAGAGGCCTGTACTACAAAAGGTGTGAGACTCCTGGGGGGTGTACTACGAAGCCGGATTTTCTCTTAGCGGCTAACTTCAGGGAAAACTCTGGGTTTCCGGTCCTACGAAGCTGGTTCTCTTTTTAGCAGGCTAGATCTCCATGGTAACTGATGCTGAGCGGCTAACCTGCTCCGGAGCAGGTTAGGTTGCAGGCTAAGAGCTCAACTCAGTGAAAGCACTGCCTGCTGACCAATCAGAGCTCAGTGTGCAGAGTTTAAAGCAATCAAGTCATATTACAGGAGAAAGGAAATACAGAAAAGCTGCCGTCGCAGGAAAGACGGCCGGCAACAATCAGCGACTGTGTGAATGTGAACATGAATAGAATATCACCTCCATCTTCAGAGCAATCTGACTATTATAACATTAGCGTTAAGAAAGCTTACTGAAATATCTGCCACAACATAAGTAACCGGATCAGAGTCACATTAAGTACAGTCCATATCACTTCATAATGTATCATCTCCTGATCTGAGTCAGCTGAGCCGTATCTGGCCGTGCAACACTCACAGCGTCACAGACTGGATGCAGAAGCATTATTTGAAGCAACACATTAAGTTGAGGAAACACTGGAGTCAAATGTAATGAAAGTCAGATGGTGTCTTAGACGGGCAGTGATATCATAAACCTGTTAATGTACGCATTCAAACACTTGTTCTGTTCCCAGCTGTGTTCACCTTGCAGGTGCAGCTCTGTGGCTTTGATCCTGGATCAAGTGTTTAAGTCATGGATGTTTAAAGTTTAACTTCTTCATATGTCTAATATTATAGTTCACTTTTCATTCAGGAAGTATGACGCTGCGCTGTCAGTGCGCTTCTCCATGTCTGTGATTGGTCGAATGCTCCAGATACCACCCCTTTCATGTGAACGCGCACCTAACTAGATAGGAAACGGCTGGCTTGAGCGATCCACTTGATAACCAGCGTCGTAGTACCGTTTAGCGAGAGCGCGTATGTTTTGGATTAGGCCAACCGGCTAACTCAAACATATCCAGGTTATGTTGAACCAGCTTCGTAGTACAGGCCTCAGGTCCGATGTTACGATAACAAATCGATTCAGGGCCTTCTCCTAGGGTGCTAGCTTCAAAAAGTATTTGGGGTGGAACTATATTTTTTATGAAATGGCAAAAAGACCATTTGTATAGAATATTTCTCACCACATGTTACCGTGAACTCTTAAAGGTCCCATGTCATGGCCATTTCCACTGATCATAATTCCATTGTTGAGGTCTACTAGAATAGATTTACATTGTTCAATGTTCCAAACTCACATTGGTTTCTCAAACAGCATCTCTGTAAAGTATGTGTATTCACTCTCTCCACTAAACGGCTCGTTGCAGCTCTTGCCCCCCCCTCCCTGTGAGCCCAGTGTGCTCCGATTGATCGGGACCAGTCGGGACGTTGTGAATCGCGCTGAGCTCCGTGGAGGTGTGGTTTCCTTGTTTAGCGATACACAGCGAAACACAGCCAAACTCACCCTGAGCACACACAAAGTCACAGCCGAAGTAAAAACAATAAGTGTGGCTTGATATTGAGTAAGAAAAAGGTTGATAAACGCTGTGAGAACGGGTCTGCAGAGAGAATGGGTCTGCAGAGAGAATGGGTCTGCAGAGAGAATGGGTCTGTAGAGAGAATGGGTCTGCAGAGAGAACGGGTCTGCAGAGAGAACGGGTCTACAGAGAGAACGGGTCTGTAGAGAGAATGGGTCTGCAGAGAGACTGGGTCTGCAGAGAGAATGGGTCTGCAGAGAGAATGGGTCTGTAGAGAGAATGGGTCTGTAGAGAGAATGGGTCTGCAGAGAGAATGGGTCTGTAGAGAGAATGGGTCTGTAGAGAGAATGGGTCTGCAGAGAGACTGGGTCTGCAGAGAGAATGGGTCTGCAGAGAGAATGGGTCTGTAGAGAGAATGGGTCTGTAGAGAGAATGGGTCTGCAGAGAGAATGGGTCTGCAGAGAGAACGGGTCTGCAGAGAGAATGGGTCTGCAGAGAGAATGGGTCTGCAGAGAGAATGGGTCTGCAGAGAGAACGGGGTCCTGTAGAGAGAACGGGTCTGCAGAGAGAATGGGTCTGCAGAGAGAATGGGTCTGTAGAGAGAATGGGTCTGCAGAGAGAACGGGTCTGCAGAGAGAACGGGTCTGCAGAGAGAACGGGTCTGCAGAGAGACTGGGTCTGCAGAGAGAATGGGTCTGCAGAGAGAACGGGTCTGCAGAGAGAATGGGTCTGCAGAGAGAACGGGTCTGTAGAGAGAACGGGTCTGCAGAGAGAATGGTCTGCAGAGGAGAATGGGGTCTGTAGAGAGAACGGGTCTGTAGAGAGAACGGGTCTGCAGAGGAGAACGGGTCTGCAGAGAGAACGGGTCTGCAGAGAGAATGGGTCTGCAGAGAGAATGGGTCTGCAGAGAGAATGGGTCTGTAGAGAGAATGGGGTCTGCAGAGAGAACGGGTCTGCAGAGAGAACGGGTCTGCAGAGGAGAATGGGTCTGCAGAGAGAATGGGTCTGTAGAGAGAATGGGTCTGCAGAGAGAACGGGTCTGCAGAGAGAATGGGTCTGCAGAGAGAATGGGTCTGCAGAGAGAATGGGTCTGCAGAGAGAACGGGTCTGCAGAGAGAATGGGTCTGCAGAGAGAATGGGTCTGCAGTGAGAACGGGTCTGCAGAGAGAACGGGTCTGCAGAGAGAATGGGTCTGCAGTGAGAGAAAGGGTCGGCAGAGAAACGGGTCCTGCAGAGAGAATGGGTCTAGAGAGAAGGGTCCTGCAGAGAGAATGGGTCTGCAGAGAGAACTGGGTCTGCAGAGAGAATGGGTCTGCAGAGAGAATGGGTCTGCAGAGAGAATGGGTCTGCAGAGAGAACGGGTCTGCACGAGAGAATGGGTCTGCAGAGAGAATGGGTCTGCAGAGGAGAATGGGTCTGCAGAGAGAATGGGTCTGCAGAGAGAATGGGTCTGCAGAGAGAATGGGTCTGCAGTGAGAATGGGTCTGCAGAGAGAATGGGTCTGCAGTGAGAACGGGTCTGCAGAGAGAATGGGTCTGCAGAGAGAAATGGGTCTGCAGAGAGAATTGACGGTCTGCAGAGAGAATGGGTCTGCAGAGAGAATGGGTCTGCAGAGAGAATGGGTCTGCAGAGAGAATGGGTCTGCAGAGAGAATGGGTCTGCAGAGAGAATGGGTCTGCAGAGAGAATGGGTCTGCAGAGAGAATGGGTCTGCAGAGAGAATGGGTCTGCAGAGAGAATGGGTCTGCAGAGAGAATGGGTCTGCAGAGAGAACGGGTCTGCAGAGAGAATGGGTCTGCAGAGAGAACGGGTCTGTAGAGAGAATGGGTCTGCAGAGAGAATGGGTCTGCAGAGAGAATGGGTCTGCAGAGAGAATGGGTCTGCAGAGAGAATGGGTCTGTAGAGAGAATGGGTCTGTAGAGAGAACGGGTCTGCAGAGAGAATGGGTCTGTAGAGAGAACGGGTCTGCGGAGAGAATTTCGCCGCGATCCCAACTGTCTGTTATCAGCCTGCAGCCCGGGAGGAGAGATCAGCAGAGCTGCTTGCACTGAGTGTGTGAGGAAGTCTGTGGATTGGTCAATTTGGACCAATCAGCGGGGGCTTAACGTAACGGCTCCGCGGACGTAACGTAACGGCTCCACGGATTGGTCCATTTCGTTCCGGGGACGACATGACATCATGATGTACCCGGAAGAATCAAATGGACAGTGACGTATCTCCAACGAGGCGTTTTGCGGAGGTATTTTCTGTGTTAGAGTTTTACTCGCTACAGGGTGTACTTTGAGGGTTTTGACTCTGCAGACCGTTTACATGCATTAAAACCTTCATAACACAAGGGGACGGGTACTAACCGGAAAAGCATGACATGTCACCTTTAAATATGTTTTCTCACATGCCTCAAAGGTAAACAAAGAATCAAAACACGGAACAATGATTGATGATTGAAGTTCATTCTGGCTGCATTTTAACAACAGAAAAACTAAATGAAATATTTGTTAACTTATACAAAAACTTGTGCAGGGTTAATTGTCACAAATAAGTAATAATAAAACTCCTTTAAGGTTAAATCTGTTCACACATGGATTTGATGAGTGACGTCCATTACTGTAACAACAATACATCTGAATCTTTTTTCTCATGTTGCAGACTGCTCCAGGAACAAGGAGCATAAAGAAGGAGAAGGATGCTGATCCCACTGTGAGTAAACGGATACTAAACACACAACAATTCTGCATTCTCTCAGGAGACCACCAGGTCACTGCAGACTGCTGGGTCTGTAGATGCTGATCAGTGACAGCTTCCCCGAGTGTCTGAACATACGGCCTCAGGTCCGATGTTACGATAACAAATCGATTTAGGACCTTCTCCTAGGGTGCTCTGGCACCATGTACAGTACACGTACGAGCATCCTTATGTTCGAACATGGTGTTTGTTCTGGCCAATCCATGACTAGCACAGAAGTCCAGTAACAAAGCACCCAATCACGACCCTCCAAGTGTCTCCATCATTGCCCACATGTTCAAGTCTACCAGGAAGACTAAGGAGTCCCCTTCAGGACGCTATCCAGGGGCTCCAAGAAGGCAGAATACTCTGAGGTGCTGTTTTCTGCTGAGGCACATACAACAGTCACAGCTCCCCCCCCCCCCCATAACCCACAGGCATAGCGAGGCGACCCTTGTGGTGGAAATGTACTGAGACAAATTAACAAATACTAAAATGGTGAGGAATAAGACGGTCTTTTAGGGAGTTCATTAAAGGTAAATCGTTACAGAGAGTCAAGCAGTCTGCTGCGAAATACGAAAGTAAATGTGATTTGATGAGTGAAGTCCTTTATTGTAACAACAATACATCTATCTTTTCTCATGTTGCAGACTGGTCCTGATGCAAGCGGAATAAAGAAGGAGAAGGATGCTGATCCCACTGTGAGTAAACTGTGATCGATGAACATTCTGCATTTTTATTTCATCAACAAGTAGATGTTACTTTAATTCTCTTACTCTGGTTTTCCTGCAGGCCGGACATCCACATAGCTTCAGAGTGAAATTCGGTCCTTCTGACCCCAAGGAACACACTGTAAACTGTGTTCAACCCGGAACAGTGCTGCGGGCGATAAAAACATGTAACAAATACAATAAGCAGTTTTCAGATGAAAACCCTGTGATTCAGCTGGGTAAAAAGGATAAGAAACATGCTATTGCAACACATTTCCCTTGTTCTTGTATCAGGGAAGATGAGTGTCTGATCTTATCGCATGAAAAAGAAAAGATTGAAGAGACCCAAGTCCAAAATGAGGAACCAATACAGTCAAAGGAAATGTATTCTGTCTTCTCTATTGATAGAGAGGGAGGAGAAAACACCAGAACAAAGCCGTTTATCAGAAGCAATGATTTCAATAGGTTCAAGTACCTGTGTGTGTATGGGGAGAAGGGTAGGGAGATCACAGTGGAGGACGCTCTGAGAAGAGATGGACGCTTCATTGATGATCTTGGCTACTTCACTCTGTCTGACAACAAGGATCCAATTAAAATAACTGAATGTATTGTAAAAATTCAAGTTGTGTCTTGAGCGTAACAAAAAAGCAGACCGAGAAGAAGTAAAGAAGAGAATAGACGTTATCCAAAAAACAATGGAAAACAATAAAGTCAGTGTCAAAGATTTAGTTGAAGACCGTGTCAGAGCAGAGAACAGATCCAAGGGAAAGAGTGGTCAGAGTGGCAGCAGTGTCGACGTTGAAGAGATGTATGATTTACTGCGGAAGCAGTATCCAGATCTGAAGGAACTGATGATGAATAGATTCCCAGGTGATTCTTATCAGGAGAAACTGAACCTGAGGAAGGAAGACTTTGGAAAGATCCAACAGTCGTTCAGCGAGGTTCACAGAGTCAGAGAGCTGATAAAACTGGGCGAGTCAGTTTGTTTGATTTCGAATACATTTCAGACTGGAACAGGGTTTGTGTTGTTTGACAAATTCATCTTGACTAACGCACACCTGTTTAAAGATTGTGTTGAAAAAAACACAATCAAATGAATCAAAAAGCTGAAGGATGATATAAAGGTGGAGGTTCTCTTTAACTTTGAAGAAAAGCTAAAAAATTACCACTACTTTAAGCTGGCTCACCGTAACATCCTCTACTGTGATGATGGACTCGATTATGCCATACTTGAGCTTGAGCCTGTCGGACAGAAATACAACCCAGAAACAAAGGAACTCACAGAAAAGAAGGTGCCACCAGGGCTCCTGGAGAGGTTTGGTCCAATGCCTGAGAGTGGTGAAGCCTGTCTCATTGGTCACCCAAAAGGAGAAGTGAAAAAACTGGATCCAACATCTATCATTGAGATAGGAAACTGGGAGAAGGCTGTTAAGGATCAATTAAAGCCATACAAAGACAAAGCTTTCATTGTCCACGTAATCAATGAAATGAAAAAGAAAGGCATTGAAAGCATATTTGTAGGAAACAAAGACAAAGCAAGAGCCTACAACACCTTCATGTATCACGGCTCCTCTGGATCCCCAGTGTTTGATGCTCAGTGCAAGGTTTTTGGTTTGCACACCTCAGGATATGTTTACGATTATCCAAAGGACACTAAGAGTGTGATAGAGTTAGCCCAACCTCTGCTAACTATCTTTGCACACTTTGTGAGTAAACTGAGGGAACATGGGGATGAGGAGCTGTTGAGGAAAGTTCAGGAAATAGCAAAGGGAAAGTCAGACCTAGAAAACATACTCACCGCATGAGAAAATGAAATACTATATGACAGTAAAAAAAAAAAAAAGTTTAAAAGAGTGATTTGTAAAATATCCATAAAGAAATAGTAAATCTGTTTCCAGTTCTGTTTCAAATGGGTGTTGAGAGATGTATCCATAGATCTCTTCATGTTGCTCTCAAAGTGCACCAGATTAATGCTTTTAACTTCAATATTTAAAAATCTTCCCGGGGGAGCTTGCCCCCGGACCCCCCTATGTGAGGTCCACACACCACCTATAAAAATAGCACTTTACCCCTGCTTACACCTATATGCCGTGAGCTGATATCGAGCCTTCATTGTAACCGTCGCACTGTGTATTTGCGTGAGGAGTGTTGCAGTAGAAAGTTCCTCTGTAGCTTCCGGTACATTAATGGGAAACCCTAAATGTTTGAGCACCCTCTATGAAACGTCAAGCTACCCCACAGCACCCCCAAAATAAATCTCTGGCTTCGCCACTGAGTCTGACTTTGTGTTGGGGGGGGGCCCGACTTTTTTTTTTCTCCAAAGGGGGGGCCTGACAGAAAAAGTTTGAGAACCACTGGGCTAAACACACGAGGCTGGACAGCTTATATTCCCATGCATCATCACACTTCAGATCTGTTTTCTAGTATGTGCATCCTGTTTCATATTGACTTCTCTGTTAGTCTGTAACAGCCAATAATACTTTTTCTAAATCCATATTTCTTGTAAGCATTATTTTTTTATTTTATCATAGTTTTTTTGTTTTTCCTTATCTATATTTGATCTTTTTTACAGTATTTGTACACCAAATTAACCTAATTGGCAATAAACACAGTTCTGATGTTGATTGTGTGTATCAACAGTGGTGGGACTCATCAGGGACAACAACGAACAGGCCTACAGGGAGGAGGTGAAACGTCTGACAGACTGGTGTAACCAGTGCTTGAATTGGAATGAAAAAGGTGCCAGTACTCTAAAATCAGCAACTTTTTCAAGTCAATTTTATATATACAGCCCACAAACAAGAATTTGGCTACTATAATGCTGGTGGGTTTGTCTCTTTACTACTGTATATTTTAGAAAGGTTCACTGTACTTAACATCTTTTATGATAGGCAGCGGATATGGCTAAAGCTCAGTAAGGTCAATATTAACTGAAAATATAGCAATCAAAGTCTAGATCTTCTGCTGAAGACACATGAAGCAGAGACCTTTCAGGTGAGAGCCCCTCTGGTGGTGTTCAACATTAATGACAAGGAAACAAAGCTCTGGTCAGAAGCATTTTTTATAAAAAGCTTTAACAAAATTAAGTATTTCTGTACATTTTGAATGCAATCTAACTTTCCAACTCAGAAAACGAAAAACGAAAAAGTGCCAAAAGTCTTCTCACATGGCTGAGCTGCTTTACAATATACTTCACCACTGAAGAATACAAATATGTATAAAGTAAACTATGATGCAATCTAACTTTCCAACTCAGAAAAATGATAAAGAGCATGAACAAAGAACATGTAAAAACAAATGCAAAATTTGCACAATCTAAAATGAGAAACTGTAACTGCAAGTAACAAAGTCTGAGCCATGGTAAAGAGTTACATTGAACACCAAGCTGATCAGATAACTCCCTGGTTGGTCTGAAGTCCTTCTATCTCCAGGATCTGTACAAATCGGCACATTATGCCAAAAGTCTTCTCACTGGGTGAGCTGCTTTGCAATATACTTCACATTGTTAGAAAAGGCTCCAGAAGGCCTTGGGGACATCAGTATCAGGGGCTGGAGCTGGACAGGCTCTTTCATCAGCACTTCTCCTTCCCTTTGCCAGCCAGGACCTCACATACTGTTCCGGATTGAACTGTCCTAGTGATGGTCCATTACATTTAATGAAAACCAGGCTGGACAGTCGGCTGACAGAGAGAGCATTCCTTTTTGCAGTAAGGATATCGTTCATGCAGCTGAATGCCCGCTCACACTCACTAGTGGAGACAGCGATGGTTCGGACTGCTTTCAGTAGAGGCTCCATGGCAGCAGGTGTACGGGATGCCCTGGTTTCCTTGTATTCGCGAAAGCCCTGAACAGTCTCTCTTCTGTCCACTTTCAGCACTTCGCACAAACGTAGCACCTCTACGCCTCCCGGCCATGTAATGGGATTTCTCTTGTGCTGACATGAGAGGAGGTTGTGGAAGTCATTCTGTGTCTCAGATTCTCTACCATACTGCGGAAAAACTGACCTGCATGAATCTGTACAAGCCTGCCATTCTCACGCAGGTCAACACCCTTGAAGGACTTCTCAGCTAGAGCTGTATGAACTGTAGTCATGTGTGGGCCAGGCATGGTGACCATGGATTCAAAAACTCGTATTTCTCGAGTTAAGAGCCTATCTGCTGTAGGCAGTGTCATCTCTCTTTTTTGGAGTTGCCGAGAGAGGTCGCTGAGCTCTGTGAGCGCATCGTACATCAGTCCCAGATTGCTGACAAACGTTGCAGATGTGAGC